GTGTGTGTGTGTGTGTGTGTGTATAATTTATTTATATATATATATATATATATTTATTTATTTATTTTTGAAATGACCAATGTATTGATATGGAGAATAAATTGTGCTTTCCAGCTTAGGGATAGTAAGGGAACAGGTGACTATAAAGGGGTTAACAAGGAGGATATTTGTATTAATGGAATGGTTCTATATTTTGATTGTGGTGTTCATTACAGAAATGTACACAAATGATAAAAAGAAAAAAAAATATATACACATTGTACCATTGTGAACTGGCTGCTTTTAGCATTTAACTACTGTTACATAAAATGTAACCACTGGGGGAAGCTGGGTAAGAGTACACAGCACCTCTCTATTCAATCTTTGAAACTTCATGTGATTCTATAACTCTTTCAAAAAATAAAAATGGGTTCAAGCCAAATGTCTGAGACCTCTGGTAGAATCTTCTACACTCTCTAGAACAAAACACCACTTTCATATTTTAAAGGCCCCAACAGTAAGCATAGTTCATATTTTATCAGGGGACTATGAAAACAAAGATGAAACAATCACACGGAAAATTACAAACTTTGTCTTTATCCCAGAGATTGGTATTCCTTTCCCATCCACCTTCATCTGATCTCATGGCCTTTAAGTCTCGAGTTTACAATTCTCCTCTCAGTGACCTACACTCTAATCCAAAATCACCCTCCCGCATTGTGAGTTAATGACATTTCCAATGGAGGAGAGATTTTTGAGCAGAAAAGCCTGCGAAATTCTGCTCTTAGCCATCTCCTGCCCATGCTGCACCACACAGACACCCCTTTCATGACACCCCAGCTTCAACACCTCAGTACCTCACTTCATAAAATAAATGTCCCAGGAAGACGACTAACATTTGAAAAGTACATTGGTTTACAAAGTACTGTACACAAGGGATCTCATGATGCTTGTTCGACTGGCGAATATATAAAAGCAGGAATCTCTTTTCATCCCCATTGTAGAGATGAGGTAACTTGGACCCAGTGAAGTAACTTCTCAAGTTCAATAGAGGCAAATAGTTAAGTTGCAGAATCAGATGTCCTGATTCCTAATCCCAAGCAATGTCAAAATATTCCATCAGAATAAACACCCATTTCCAATCTGGTAACAGACATTTCATAACAGGAAATGCTAGAATAGAAAACAATTAGTTGATACAACTGAATGGTGTGATCCCATCTAAAGCAGAGGTTCTCAAAGGCTTGTCTAATCCTGAGAGCAGTAATATGACTAGTGGTTCTAAATAGAGCTTTCAAAATAGAAAGTCAGTATGCACCTGTATACTGGCATGGCAAGGACTAGAAAAGAAAGCAGATTGCTTACTTCAGCTAGCTTTACTGCTTTATGCAACTCACCAGCCCATGTCTATGAAGAAAGGGCACAATCATGGTGCTATAACCAAGGCTGAATTCCAATTAATTCTATTGGATCCCTAGCTCTCCCTCATCTTGACCAAGTAAAAGAACACCATAGCAGAAAACCTCAAGGAAACATCGTGGCGACGTCATTTTTGACTTTATGATTCTCCTTCTAATCTATCCTTTCCAGCTGTAGCATGGCTGGAATTTTTCAGCCTTTGAATAAAGTACAGGTAATGAAAAAAGCTACATCATTGGAAAGATCATGGAAAATTATTCACATGAAAGATTGTACTTTTGATAGCAGCAAACAGAAATGCAGATTAAATGACACCAGGCCCCCTACCCCAGCAGAACAGTTCTTGGAACAAAAGTTTGAGAACCTGACAATACACAAATAACACAGCAAAGGAGTTTTATTATGAAAAGTAGAACAACAAGTAAAACTCATAATTTTTAAAGCTGCTAAACATTACATAATCATTTATTAGTCATAAACTGCTTTTTGATTCAAAGGAGTCCCTAGCCCCATTTCTAATAGGATTAAGCAACTGCAGGACAAATAAAAGGGAAGATTATAAAATTCTTACCAACAGGATATTTTAGTTCTATGGTGGTTTCGCCTTCTTTACTTAATTCTGATACTTCACAAGTATAAATTCCTGGGACAGCATGGCTCTTGTCCATCATCAAAGAGGCATTGCCTGTTAGTAGTGCGTCTGGTACGATGTACGAACTCGAAAATTCACTGCTGGGGTGGGCTTCATTTTTCCCTCCATCATAGGTGAAAATGTATTTGTCTTTGAATTTCCACTTCACCAACATTTCTTTCAGGCTCTTTGCCTCCGAATTAGTGACTAAGCATGGGATGAGAACAGTTTTATTGTCATTGGTGTAGTCTACAGATTTGATTGTTTTAAATAATAGCTGAGTTTTAACTGGAAAAGAAAAAGAAAATAGTTTCATTTCACTATAGAATTCAATAGGGTAAGGTCTTAGGTATGTTATAAATCCTTAAGATAAAACAGCAATGCTCAATTGTCCCCTTAAGTAAATAGTACAGCTACAGAAAGAAGGCAGGCCAGGTGAAGAAGTGAAACAAGTTATTTTAATATTAACCTGCACAGATGGTAAAGACCATTGTAACTTTTCCTTGTTCATTCTCAGTAATACACAGTGTACATTACCAAGAGTATTGGGAATAAATTCAGCAACCTGTGTTGGAACATGCAGGTGTATATTTGGCTTCAGAAGCTTTGAAGTAATCATTGTTGCTCACTGATGTACATAGAAAAATATTGTTCTTACCATGGAAAAGTTTTGAACAGGAAATCAAGCCAAATATTATATTCAGTCTCAATTTCTATATACTCCCTCCAAACAGAACCTAAACCCATGTGAAGTTTATCTCTATCCTTAGGTTGCATTTCCAAGCAATGTGTTGAGCTATATTGTACTTTAATATAAAAAGTAAATCAGAAGAATCACATCGCATCTTACATCTAAGATGGAAAGTCTTAGAATGCTAAGGACAAAAAATATACTCTGACTATCTCCCATTGCAAAATACAAACAGCAATGGACATTTGGTATGCAAATACTATAAAGAGATATATGCAATTGAAAGGCATCTTCTCAAATTTAATTGAAACTATAGAACAACAGTTTTCAAATGCATTTTACAGGTATTCCTTCCTCCAAAAAACCATAAACTACTCAATATAAACCTAACAAACAGATGAAATAAAAGACAAATATTGCTATTAAGTAGGTATATCCTATTAAACACTTCTCAATGGGATAAACTACCAGTTGTCTTACAAAATAGGGGATGGAAAAGTAATTGCAATCAATCATCTTTCACCTAAAATGTGCAAGATTGTAGAGAAATTGTAGTTCTCTTTCATATTTTTCAGCCATTTATTAACTCTTCTCTCTAAGTAGTTAGTTGAATTTTCCCTGAAAGAAACAAAGCACTAACAAATATAAATATCAACTTTAGTAGTTCTTTCTTACAATTCCTTTCTTTTATATTAATTAGGAATAAAACTCAGGATGCCCATTGAGTTGAATGCTAGGATGCATAGTGAAATATAAACTGAACAAGGTTCAGAAAGCCTGAGTACAAATTCTACCTGTCCCTTGTCAGTATGTGACCTTAAGCGATTCAGGTAACTTTTCTAGGCCTTGGTTTACTCTCTGCAAGTAAGAGGATCAGAAATGAACACCAGACTGCTTCACAGAATTGTGGCGAGTATCAAAGGAGCAAATACATGGACAAGTGCCCTCTCACAAATGCTGTGCTGTACATATGCAGGTAATACTCTAAAAACTGGGAAAAACAGCTTTTTCATACAATAATCTAAACCTTCTCTGACTGGGAGGTGCAAATTGTTATGTTTCTGGGAATTTGCAGTCTGAACCAAGCTTGTGGTTCACCAGCTCACTTCTGCCCAGTTCTCTACACTTCTAGCCATCCCTGTATTAGGATCCCCAGGCAAAACCTGGATTTTCAATTGCGTTTTTCAAAATCATGGGGTTCTGAATTAATTCCCTTGACAATGTACCATTAAGAGGGCAGCTATACTGTACAACAAGGAGAGAAGAAAGTGGTTGTGATGTTGGAATTAGAAAAGAAGCAAAGTGTCAGAAAATTTGCTGCACAATTTTGAAATGAACAAAAGGATTAGCTAATGTTCTTTCAGTGGGGATCTGAGCATTGTCTGACAGATCCTTTGGGAATATCTGATTATGTAGGGGCGGGGCCTGTGCCTTTCACTGTGTTTTGTAAATTGTAAAACTTGGACAGTAATGCAAATTACTCCGGTCCATAGAGGGAGAAATAAACTTTGTTATGCAATTGATTTCCAGCTGGTGGAAGAGAGGGTTGAACAATTATATTTTATTTTACCTAAGGATATTGACCGATTGCATATATTCACGAATTCATTTCAGCATTACTGATTGCCTATATGTCTTTCTTTTCTCTCAATGTACTTTAAAAGCCAATATTGCCTTACCATGTTGCTAGCTTGCTTATTCAACAATTTCATAACTTATGCTTAGAGAATGGATTACGACAGAATACAGAAAGTACTAATTGCACTGCATTATTTGTTGTAATATATAAAAATCTTAAAGCTGAAACCATTTAAATAGAATTAGTGCTGTTAATTAATTTCAAATAAAATTCACCTGGATAAGCCTTAACTTGAATGAACCTTGCACTATAATTAATAAATAAGTTTAGTCCAAAAGTGTCACTCTACCAGCTGTTGACCACAACTTCATCTTCTATTAACACTTATTTAAACTCTGTAAGTAATAAAAACATCTAATTTGGGTTTTCTCTCTTTTGCCTACTGCCTTCTGATGAAACAAAAAGGGAAGGAAAGGTTTGAAACAGAACAAATAAAGGAACACAAATAATTAACATGAATAAGAAAATTCTGAAAAATGATAAGCTTACAACAGTCTAAATCAGATAGAAAGGTATTAATACAACCATCAGTGATGCCAGCATTACAAATAAATTAAAAATAAAATGGGAAATTATTTTATATTAAATGCCAAAAAGATTGGGTTCTACAATCTCTGTGAATACCAATCACCAATCTAACCACCTCCTTCCACAGTCCTGAAGACGGCCAACATGTGGTTGCAAAAAGGCTCAATATATGGCTCAGAATTTTTAAAAATGCAGCAGACATTTATTGAGAATTAACTGATCAGAAACATTGTGATAGGATGTGTGGATACAATGAAAGTGGGGAGGAAGGGGCACCGGGTTTGAATTATCTTTTCAAAGCTTCCAATTCTCACTTGGGGGCTTGATGTGCACTTTTTATAACACAGGATTACGTAAGTGCCTTCCTATATGAGCAAAGTGCTCTGGAAGGGCAGGAGGGGACAGGAATCAGCGTTACAGGTTTCTAAGAAAATGTGTGTTGTTACCTGTGGAACAACAGAAAAGTGTCATAGTCCCTGCCCACTTGGGTGGTCCTCAATCTTTTTACACTTGTTCCATGTAAAGTTTCTCTCCTCTGGATCAGCTCTTAAATCACCCTCCTTCTGCAGGAGCTTACTCCATACTCTCCAAAGCAGCCCTCTCTTCTTATTACTTAATTCAGATTGAGTCCATCAGTGATGCCAGATGAGAAGCCAGAGCTTCTAATAATCCTCACCTTAAAATTGACCTGCAACCCCAGCAATCCACACTTCCCTCTCCTCTCACCCCCATTTCTCCTCTTCAGAAATGAATCCCTTTACCTAAGAGGTAGTTTCTATTTTTGCCTCCCCACCCATCAATCTCCTCAAGGACTTTCCTAGTTGATTATCAACCTCCCACATGCCCCTATTCCATTTACATAGGTTTTGCTTTTCTTTGTTTTGAAACATTTACAACATGTCAAATATTTACCAAATTGAGGAAATCCCTCATATTTGTCTCTCTTGTCCCTAGCAACATAAAATAATAACATAGAAGCATTTCTTCACTTTGTTTCATTTCTTAAGTCTCTGCCACCTGGCTGCCATCTCTGACCTTCAGCTTTACTACAACAGCTCTTGCCAAAGCCACCAACAATCCCTTGTGAAAAATCACATCTGTATGGTTCACTTTCTATCTCAACTTCTCTACAGTTCTTGAGCCAGTGGGAGCTCCTTCCTTAGGCCTGTCCCTTGGCTTCTATCCTATATCTCTGGATTCTGAATTTCCTTCTACTGTTTGTTCACCCATCCCAGCTTCCTTTTCTTATTGAAACATATTTCATGAATCAAAATAAATATTTGTGTTTCTAATGGCTTCATAGTCAGCACTGCCTCCCCCTCCCCAGTATTTACCCATACTCATGGATTTAACTACCTACACACTTTTTATTTAACCAGGGTCCACTTTTCTTCTCAAGACCTGGGAAAGCCAACTGTGTGCTGAACATTTCTACTTGGACCTAGTACTGTTACATCAAAGTTGACATGTCCAAAAATCAATATTCCCTCTTCCTACCGTCCCCACAAATCCTCACCTCCTTAAAGCATTTTGTCTTATCTACCAGTCAACCAGAATGGGCCTAAGAATCATGCTGGGTTCTTCCCTCTTTTTAGCCATGGATATTTTTGGTGGAACTCAGCCTATTTAATAGTTCCTAAATGCAATGGCAGTTGTGTGAATGAATTAGACATTCCTCATTTCTCTCTTGAACTACTGCCATTTAAGTAGCTCCCTGATTCCAGCCTTCACATTTCCCTATCTCAGAACCAGTGTATTTTTCAGGGTTCCAGAAAAATGTTCTAAATACAAATGTGCATGTTTTTGATCACTATAATTTAACAACACCCTTCTCTCTTTTCAGGCTAAATTGTAAGTGTCTTAGCCTGGAATACAAGCTAGGTCCTTCAAGGCCCTGTCAAGCCCCACCTTCTGTCCTTCATTTCCAAACTAAGGCCCAATTGTAATGACTTTCTTAAAATTCCATGAATATGTATATGTACTCTCATGTCCATGCCTTTTAACTAGTTCCCTCAGCCTAGAGGCCCTGACACATCTCTGGGTGTATAGGTCAGAACACATATTTTGGAGTCAGACATTGACTCAAACCTTAGCGCCTTCTAGAGATATAACCTTAGGCAAATTATTTAACCTCTATACCTCAGTTTCCTCATCTGTACAAAGTGTAGTAATTGTATATACCTCCTGGAGATTTTGTTAAGATTTAATAAGATAAGGAACACAAAGTTCTTATCTCAATGTCTTTCATGTACTTAGCAAATGCTCAATAAATGGCAGCTAGAGGTGACTAACTGGCTCTTCCTGCTAAAGCACACTTGAGCTGTTTAATCCTGTTTCCCTTCCCAACACTACTCAACTTTATTGATCCTCTCCATACTGCTCCCATTATTCCCTCTCAAGTGCTGTCACTACCCTTAATACTGAATCTTG